TCTCAGTTGGTAACAACTGAGACCTATTGTAGGTTACACTGCAATAGACCCTAGTTCAGCCTCTGGCCAAGGCAGATTGTAATAATTTAATTTATGGAATTTACCGGTTTGATTCCGAGAATGAATTTCATAAGGTATATACAAACCATGTATATTAAAGATCACAAATTTGTAGAATATGGTGACCCTGAGATATCTATAAGGTGTGATGGTAGCTACCACCAATATGGTGTAAGTTCGCTTTGTCTAGATTCATACCATCCTGATAACAGGTAGTGGTAATATATATTCTCACCTATCGTAAACCAATTGAGTTTGGAACCAATAGTGGGCTGGTTTGTAATGAACAAGTGTCGCATCGTCTGCAAAGGGTACCTGTGAGGGTAGGTCAATGGTAGGCACTGTATAACTTGAATTGAACAAAAGTCGTAAGTTATAGGTGGTTGATATTGCACTGTCTTTAATCATTGTGGTGTCTATATCACAACTAGGGTTTGGAGGCTTGGGTTCGATTCTTGGGGTGATTTTGATGTATAGCGAGGCAACTATAGTGTAGGCTATCATCTTAGGTTGTTCTTGACCCTCTTTCCAGTAGTTGTGATAAATAGTGAATGATGGCCAGATACCATATCTCTTTACCCTGAAGGTTCATTAGTTTGGCAGTCTACTCAGATATTGATACTCATTCACCTAAGTTTAACGCTAACCCACACTGGTTTGAAATATAGCAAAGGGGGGTTAATAGTAGAATTAGACATGTTGTAAGACGTATCATTCTGTTGAAGGGTATGCATCCAAATATATTACCACTTGTGCGTGCCTAGTAAAAGTATCAAAAAAAAAAAAAAAAAAAAAAAAAAAATTATTTCGACCATTTCGACCATTTCGGATATCTGAAATGATCCATTTCGACTTCATGTATAATTGCAGTATCATATATTGCTTTTGACAACTAATATTATATTGAATTTGATGCAATACTATACTCTGGATAAAAAAATATCTATTTTTTTATTAGATTCTTTTCATAGACAAAAAAACCTAACATTTAATCAAATCAATCATTATTATAGTGTCTATTAGCTTCATAATTTTTAGTACAAAATAATACACTAATTATTTCTATATTTATTTTCTTTTTAAATTGTTCATATGATTCAGTAATTCAAGATAAATTTACTTTTGACATATTTATATATTCAATTTATAATAGAATCTCTATTTTCAACAAATACTTTTAATGCTTCTGGATTTAGATTTTTTCACCTTTATAAACATAATTGCCAACAAATAAATCTAAAGAATTTTTACATTAACTATGAGCTATCATTTTTCTAACATTAATATGATTTATTTTACCTTGATTAAATAATAGATGCACTTCTATTGTAGCTTTGATTTTAGATTCAAAAAAATAGCTACTTTATTTAAACTATTTTTCTAATAAATCCTTCTACTATTTTACCATTACATATAAATATTACTGATTTATTTTTATCAATGATTTCAATTTCATCATCTTTTAATAAATTAATACACACAAATTTTATCTTTACAAGAAACTTTTACTTTATAATATTTTTTTGTTAATTTTAGTATATGTGATTGATATATTAATTATTGCAATGGGTTTTCTAATTATATAATTTAAATGGATAGGCATAATTTTATATTGGATATTCCAACAATCTAATAAATCTTTATACTTTTTTGATCCATTTTAAATATCCATTAAAAATCTCACAAATTTAGAAATTGGATCCTTTAAAATAAAACAAAATTAAAATTAAGCTTACTTAGAAGAAATAGATAAAATTATGAACAGATAAATAAATACTCCTACAGTCCCTCACATCATAATGTTTGAAAGTAAAAATTGATATTGATTTTAAAAATATGTATATCCAATTTGATCAATTTGTTTAACTTGGATTAAGCTTTATATCCTGACTAGTCTTTTTAATCTTGGATCTTCAGAAATTATAATGGTATCACAATTTATAGATATTTAGGGATATAGCATTTCAATATAAGTATTTTATCTAAATCAATAAGTTAATGCAGCAAAAGTCTTTTTGGTTAAATTATCAACTTAAAGAGAAAAACCCTTTGGTTTTAATTGGTTTAATTTGTGATTATCAACTGAGAAGCTAAGAAATGCAATGCAAAAGGACTTAATTCATTTACCAAAAATATCATATGTTATAAGACTTACACTAAATATATTAATTAGTCTAAAATGTAAGCATATTGACTCTGAATTGTTGGATGAGTCAATCGTTATTATTGGTTCTGTTTGATGCATGCCTTCAAATAGTAACTCTCCTTATCTCTTTATACACAAACCAAAAAAAAATATAGCATCGTGTCATATTCTAACATTTGATTGGGTAAGAATTTATTCATAAATTTTTATAAAAGACTATACATAGTTTTGATTTGATTAGTTGACTCACCCCAGTGATGCATATATAAATTTGTGGCGATAATGATATTTCATCAAGATTGGTGTAAGGTTTTTAAAACGCCTGCTTCATAGACTACTTGTATATTGAAATTCATCCTTTCTTTACTTGCAAAGCTAAAATTATAAGTGTGAAGTATGATGAATTTAATAACTTTTTTACGGTTGCGATTGTACAAAACAGTACTTGTAAACCAAAGACATTTTTTCGTCAGATTTCTGAGGACCTTACTTAGCATCACGGAATGCAAATAATAAATTTTCGGCGAGTTTCCTGAGGTTAATATTAACTGTGGATTTATTTTTCTGGTACTGCATGTCTCATATATGTAAGTTAGACGACCATTATTATTCTATCCATAACTATTGATGAATGAATCGGATCATGGAATGGATTATGGGTTGGTATATATAGTTTAGACAAACGAAAACTGGTGTAGAACGAAACCATATCACTATGAGCCGAATCATGTAATTTATTTGTAATCTTTACCAATAAACCAAAGTTCCCAGAGGTTGTAACAACGTATGGCTGAGCTTGAGGCCGAGATCAGGCTGAGAATATGTGAAGCCGAATCAAATTATAGAAGAAAAATGCAGATAATAACTGGATGAAAAGTCTGATATGATCATGTCTTTTATTTGATTATTTACTTCATTTAAGATAATTAAAGGCTTTACAGGATACGAGCACTATGAAAGACTTTAAGGTTTTAAGCAAACTACCTCCGTATCCTACCACCCGGATATATATATTTTTAATGGTCGTTACAAAAACACGTGATGATGAAATAGTTGGCCCTTTATAATCTCTATAAGAATTATGATTTTTAAAAAATCCCAATTTTACATCATCAATGAAGAGAAAAAAATAATCCTCTGAATTTAAATATTTCCGAAATAATGATGGTGAGATAATTTTCTTCATTTATTCGTAAACTTATTTAATATTTCTACAAACACATTTCAAAAAAAGTTCTTTAAATAATCATGGATTTCTACGATATATAATTTTCAATTTAAACCGCACAAAGTGCAATTGATGAAAGAATAGAAAGTGCTAAAACAGAATGTCCTGTTCGATATACACCCTTTACCGATAAAGCTGCTCCAGTATCCCACAACTGTTTAAATAGAATAATTAATAAATGTGAAAAAAAAAACAAATGCGACTTAAGTATAAATTTCAAATTTAATGTTTTCGTACCAAATGTCTCATTCCATTGAATACATGGTAAGAGAAAAAGTAAGAAATGCCAAATTTTCCTGCGAGTTTTAGTGCAGATGGTAAAGTTGACACTGCAGCAACTAAAGTGTCGGAATCAGGTCCGCCTAATGCATAAGCAGTTGTCACTCCGTAGAGACCTAATCGATACAAGTAAATTTAATCATAGTAGAAATAATAAATTAATAATTGAAGCCTTACCTACTGCCAGTCCCGTTCCAGTTACTCTATGAGCAAATGACATATACCATGTCAATTGTGGTTGATAAATAGTGAAATGAGGGGAAAGCGGTCGTTTAGCACGTTGACTAATGAGAATCTCTTCGTGGGCAGGTGATGTTTCTTGAGATTTTGACGATGTAGTGCTTTGTCGCGCATTTCTATTTCGAATAGCATACAAGTTAATCAATGAATCAATGAGCTCAAAAAAAAAAGAAATGCAATTATAATTTTATTTTCAAGAAAATTAAAATATTGAAAAGTGGCAATTTTTAAAAGAATGAAATACGCAAAATGTAATAACTTTGATAATATCAGAGAAACACCCGATTCAAATGTACCTCATCAAAATAGGTAAAACACCACCATTTCTTGTCAAAGTAGTTCTGCGCAAGTAGCCTATTTATTGAATCATAAAATATCAAATTTGTTTGAAATACGTGTATATATCTTTTCTTATTACATACCAGAGCCTGGTGTTCTGAAATTTCGTATCAAGTTGATGGAATTCATTTTTTTTTAAAAAAAAAAACCAGAATTAAAATCTCGTTAAAAATGCAAATCATTATCTATGTAACACGAGAAGACATTTTTATTTGTGACGACATAATATTATCAAATGCGGTTAACATGATCATTTTTAAAAAATCAAATCTTATAAAGTTAATTTAACAAGACAATGCAAAATATAAAATCCAATTGAAATGGAATTTAAAAAATGATTATTGAAAATCATCACAAAAGAACTTTTTAAGCAATATTAAATAGAAAAACTGTGAATTTATTTAATTTGTATTCATAGTTTTTATTTTAAAAAATGTTATTTAAATAAGTGATGTTAATAATCATATAATGGATATTTACTCTATAACGGGGTTTATAAATATCTAGAAATATTTACTTAGAAATATTTACTGTCATTTAATATTAAATAACAATATAATTAATTTTTTTCCGAAACCAACTTATTAATATTTATTATAATTATTTTATATTTAATGATGGAATTTTAACTTATTAATTATTCCGAGGTATCTCTTTTGGAAAAAGTACTAAATACTTGCTATCTAAAGCTTCCTTTGAACGTTTTTCTATATTGTTACATAATTCTTCCCAACGATGATATACATAAGATATTCTAAGATCAATAAATGCCTTCCATTCATTGATATTTCTTGATGATACCATGGAAGATAACCATTAAAGAATATATCCAAAAGACACCCCTGAGCTTAGGTAACACATTCAATTGATTCAATCCAGCTTATTAATTTTTTTGACTTTACTTTTCATCCCCTAAATATATGCCCCTCCCTTGAACTGTTGATATGCGGGAAATGACTTATCCTAATAGCTTTTCCTGATAGCATAGTAACATAGTTTTCTTTTTTTTTTTGAATGTATATAAGAAAAAACTTATTATGATGGGAACATGGCTGTAAGGTTTTATGAAGAATGCGATCATCACTCACATTAGTATTGCAAAAGGTGTAAGCGATGTGAATGTCCTTAAGTAATTTGATAATAAAGCAATGGTGCAAATTTACCAGACGTTTTATAATTTTTTTGCATGGAGTGTGAAGCAAAGTGTGTGCTATTATTTTTTCGATCAAGTTTTAAATAAATGCGCAGTAATATTGTAGTAATCATTACATGTAAATAATTTTTTCTCAAACTTTCTCTAAATTATATATAGCCCCTTATATATGGATAACGTTAAATTCTTTATTGTTAAATTAGGGAATTCCGTTGATCAGATTTTCGTGATGCGATCATATTAACATAATTTCCCTCAAAAGCATATTCCAAAATCGATCCTGAGAATTATATAAAAAGGTGATGTCCCGGTTAGTGAACCGTTTATCTGCCTTGTGCAAGTAAAATGAAAAAACCAAGCGAAATAATCAAACTTACTATTATTTACATCAAATCAAACGAACTCGTATATTCCGCAAATTAATAACAAGGTATGTTGGTTTTATTGCCCGGCAAGTTTCTAGAAGAACATCATCACGATGTTAATCGATTTTTCTGGCTCTATAGATGCTTCATATCCGAGAAGATCGTGATTGCTAGCATGTGCCTCATCGGCGCAATGTTATTTTTGTGGCTTTGCAAGTTTCACCTGATTTTAATCACATGCCACGAAAGCTGGTGCAATGTTCGGCGCATTAACGTACTGGTGATCGATAAACAACAAATTTCCTAAATACAATGCGGAATGGAATGTTGTGAAAATGAATCTTAGTGGTAAATGTGAATCGGAAATATTATTTTTTTTTTTAACATCAGTTGCTAATCTCCCGAATTTATGCTGTAGATTTGAATTACTTAATCTCGGAGAAGTTTTCTTGTGGGAAATAATCTTTTATATAGTCTGTGCGGGAAAATTTATTTCGGAAATCTAGAATAATAAAAAGAGTGTGAGGGTGAGAATCTCGTAGTTAGCAATAGTGGTAGAAATAAATTAGGTGTAGAAGTTTATAAAAAGCCTGAGAGAGCAAAGAAATAAATTGATACTGGGACTCGCATTAAATGCCGTACTCCCACCCTCTTTGATAGCATCATAATACTTCTCTTGTTATCTCTATAAAAGTTAACACTTATTATTTAACTTTTGTATGAATCGGAAATAAAAATGCATTGAAAGTAAGTTTTTCTTAGCTTAGTGCATACCATTAACGTCCACTAGTAAAATTCCCGAATTACTATCGCTTTTAACATCACCTCCAAAACTGAAACCACAGAGCTTATTTTCAAAAGTCGTTATGCGATAGCAAGAGAGGACTCCCACGGCGTGGTAACATCACTTCTCTCACTATTTTTTCACGTCTTTGAAACGCGTCGCACAACCATTCCACATTCCAAGCCTTTAACAAGTGATCTGATGTGATTTTGAATTAAAGGACTAACAGGTTACAGATACGCCAGTTAGTACTGAAACTTTGAACATCGGCTTTGGGTCGTTATGCGATAGCAAGAGAGGACTCCCACGGCGTGGTAACATCACTTCTCTCACTATTTTTTCACGTCTTTGAAACGCGTCGCACAACCATTCCACATTCCAAGCCTTTAACAAGTGATCTGATGTGATTTTGAACTAAAGGACTAACAGGGCACAGATACGCCAGTTTGGAGAACAGATTATTCATAAATTTATTATCGTGCACATTAGACACGTATTATGAAATTCAGATGATCGACCAAACCGACCAATGGTTTTGGTGGTTCACACCTGATCGGGTTACACCAACCAATAAAATTCGTGATCAAAAATGCTTTGATAATACGCGATCGCGTCTCTCAGGAATCTCAAAATTTCAAAATATGGAAACGCAAAAGGTGGAATTCGTAAAAAAAATGTTATCCAAATTCAACGTCCTCACTTTTTTCAAAAAATACAACTACAACTATGACTCTCGCGATGTCGCTCAGGAAGATCTCCGAAAATGTTTAGTTTATGTAAGTCGCTTTGCTATGGCTAAAGCTGCAGATCTTGCAAAGACGTACTTAGCTGACCTAGACGTAAGGAATTATTGCAAATAGGTATTAAGTCGTTCTTATCTAAATTGAGGACTCATGTTACGCTCTTGTATCATACAGAATAAATTTAAGTCAAAGCGGGCCGAGGATTTTTGGCGGAAACTTGAGAACAAACAATTGAGTGATGATGTAAAATTTTCTAAGGTTAGTAATCGAAACCCAAATAGTTTTTACCCGTCGTCCGTTCACTAGAAAAAATTATTTAATACTTACTCTACAATTTAGGAAAAACATGCTAAGAAACTTGTCATTAACGTTTTGCGGGAACATGATGCTGTTAGTGGCCTAATGGCTTCTGAAACCGACCAACAATGCTCCAATGGTGACGGATTTTCCAATGGCGAAAGCCGTTCCAATGATAACGACCTTTCCGATGATGACAACCTTTCTGATGATGACGATTTTTCCGATGATGACGACCTTTCCGATAACAACAATGATGACTTTTCTAATGGTTCTAAATCAGAGAAAGATGAAGAATGTGAGAATGAAGATAACGTGGATGTTACTGAGTTACGTGAACCATGTGTGACGGAATCTGACATCGGAAAAGCGTTAACTTCAGATGAATGGATGGAAGTACAAGCACTAGTGGAGAATTATCGATCAAAAATACCGAAGACGAGGTGTTTATACAAGTGAGTTCATCTTTGTTTTATTGTTCAATACCATCAAACTTGATGATTGACAGTTTTCTAGTCCACTATTTTATCACATTGTTGACCATTCAGGTCAACACGGACCAACCACAAGATTACTTGAGCAATATTTGACATCAATGCGTCAGTCATTACCTAACGTTAGTTTTGATCTGCCAAGCCTTTCAGCCGAGCAAGAAAAGTATTTTGACGAACTGTTTGCGGTAATTATAACATTGCATCTCTTTGAAGTCTTTAATTATGAAGCCAATTTGCTAAGATATATTAATATAGGCAGAGGACCTACAAGATGTCCGTGCAAGAACTCCTGATCAACGAACTGCAAAAAAATTAGTTGATAGGATGTGAGTTGGCGCAGAAGTTCTTATTGGAGATGATGGCGTCTAATTATTTTTCATTATTTTTTCTTAGCAATGATTCGATAAATTGCTCAAACAAAGACAATATCCCAGAATATGAACACACCATGCGCAATGTGATTCCATTCATTGACGCATCAATCAGAGATGTCTCAGACTACGTTATACGCTAGTAAGTTGTCTCTTGATAATTTATTACTTATCAAAGTAGCTAATTCTTTCAAAAAATGCATTAGTTTTGAAAGTACGCTTCGTGCCACAGCAATACGTCGCAATTTGGGTGGAGATCCTACAGAGCGCGCGCGAATGGGATATAGAGTAGATGTGCTTGTCAAGTTTCATGGCCTTCATTGGAGTCCTGACCTTGCATGTGGCGAGATATCAGGTGGACTTCCGAGGTGCTCTCGTGCTAAAGAGTGGATAGATACCCTTAAACTCGGGTGGGAACTGCGTGATGTGTGGGCTCTGACCCAAGATCAGCTAAATGGGGTAGATGCCAGTACTTTAGTCGTATGGGGCTTTACTATTGTTGGTGAGTGATATAAAGTTTCAGTCATAACACGCTGTTTACCCATTAATTCGATTATGTTTGATTAAATGATTTTAGCCCGCACAATTCGTATTTATGCTCTTGTAGCTGCTGGTGGTTTGTTCCATCTCATACTTGCTTATGAGGCACCTTTACCTTCATCTAAATGGGACATTTGTAACATCAAAATTGCTTATTGCACCATGTTGGGATTTTTTCAAAAGTTGAATACTACCAAAAAGATGCTTGTTGATCTGAACTACAAAAGAACAAAAATATTATGTTCCGGAGTAAAACGGAAGAAGTTGTCTACTTCGTTTTCTTCCCCACCAATCATTGGATCACCAGCGAAAAAAAAGATAAAATAAAATTGTAATTTGTAAAATGAATAGTTCCGCTAAGAATTAGTTTAACAATGATCTTTTTAGATGAAAAAAAAAATATATAATGCAAGTAATGAGTAGAATCATCTGATTCATAATTTACTAGCTGTAGTTAGTTTTTTTTATAAAATTTTGAATCGAATTTTTGGTACAAGTATCCTTCAATCACACTGTCTATTTTCTTGTAATATACTTTTTTTCTTGTACCAAGAATTTCCCAGAACTTTTTTCTCAGAATTTAGATCTTACAAATTTTTGATCAATTTTTAGGTGATAAATATTGCCAGAAACTTTTAAAATTTCCAAACTTCTAGGAAAATATGGACTTCCTGGAATTTCTGGAACTTTTGGATTTCTTAATTTCTTAGGAATTTTTCAAGATAGTAATACTTATCTATAGAAAACTAATCAACCAAAATTTAATGATCACTATATGAATCTGCTTAAGCAGTTACCTTTATCCATAAAAAAATTATATATAGAGATGTCTTATAATCCACAAATATAATCCATTATCTAAAAAATAGGTTAGTAAAATTCATTCAGATATAAAAGAGTTGCTTACAAAGAAGGCTAATAGGTATTTTAAGAAAAAAGGTTGGGATCATTTTAAGATAGATGCTAATATTACTCCTGAAGAGTCTAGTATTTTGTCTTGTCTAGATGGATTTAAAAAGCAGTTGGAGAAACAAGAATATAATTTATAATAACAGGAGAATAATATTAAGAATACTATTAAATTATGGTTTAAAAAAGAATATCAGCAGTTAAAAAGTGAATTGATATTTTTAAGGTTAGTCTTAAAAATAAATATAATAAATGTTTTGTGAATATAAAACAAAAGACTTATTTATTTAAGCATTAATTTGAAAATCAGTATAATTTACTTTGTTGATCTGGAAAGATAATACAAATCTTATATTTTTGTTTTAGATAAAACTAAAATCGAAAAAGATAAGAAGATTAGTAAGTTATCCTCTACTATCTCTCAACTTAAAAATGATAAAAAGAATATAAAAAATTATATTTGTTAAAAACCTATAAATTATTACATTTAATAATCAGATCATTTCTTATTAATTTGATATTGACTAATTGTAAACATAATATTAATTTGATTTTAATTTATTGATGACTCAATATTGATTTGACGTTAATTTATTGATAACTCACCATTGATCTGACTTCAATTTATTAATGATCATCATTGATTTTTAATATCTTATCATTAATTTAATATTTAATTTTTTATGTTAATTAAAGATATATAGATATCAAAACTTTGTTTTAAAATATTAATATGTACTATCAGCCAATTTTTTTGTTTCTTTTGAAGTTTGCTAACTTTTCAATTGTAAAGATATTACGTTAGGCTTTTTGAACTGAGAAAAGAATTATGATAGTTTTTTTATTTACAAATAATCTTGAATTCACTACTTACTATAAGCTCTTACCTAATATAATAAAATCATTTTGTTTTAAATATTACTATAAATACATTTTTTCCATTTTTTTTATAGGGATTATAGAGAATTCATTTAAATATTTATTATACCTTCTGAACCAATAGTTATAGGAATTTCATTATTAAAAGTATCAAAAGATAAGATTTTGTAGCTATACTTTAAGTATATGAATCTTCTTTTATTTTCTTTAAGACCTAAAAGGTTTGTGATAAGTTCTGTAATGTTTTCTGAAAATATTGAAAAATCTGAGCCTATATCAATTATTATATAAAATACAGTATATATATAGATCTTATTTAACATAAAATAATAGTAATCATCTAACTAAAAAAATTTGTTTCTAAAGGTTTAGTCCAATTTATATTTTTGATCAATATACATTTAATCCTGATTTTTGATATGTTTTAATCATATAATTTAATATCTTATCAGATAAAATAATAGCTAAAAGCTTAAATTTTATTCTATTATCTTTCTTTGATTTTGGTAATTCTATTAAAGCTTCATATAAGTTAACCTGAACATTGGCTTAAGCTGAGCTGATTTATTTTAGTTCAGACTCAACTTAGCTTGAGTTAAAAATGTGATAAGCTAAGCTAGCTTGTGAGCTAAATGAGCTAACTCATTTGACTCACATTATTAACAAAATCCTAAAATATTTTTGAGAAATTGGATACGCTCTGAGGAGGGTTTTTCTTTAAGATAATAACTTCTGAAACATTTCTTTAAGAGAAAATTTCTGAAATGATTCTTTTAAGAGAAACATCTTCAAAATGTTTTTCTCTAAAGAAAAATACTTATAGAATATTCATCTTGAAGAAAAATGCTACCAGTATGTTATCTTCAAAATAATATGTTTTCTGAATATAAAATTAGAAAAATAAATACTTTTAAAGTATTTCTTTCAAAGAAAATGCTATTAGCGTATTAAAATTTAAAGAAAATGCTACCAGTATATTAAAATTCAAAAAAATACTGCCGTTGTATTAACTTTGAGAAATACACTTCCAAAGTATAAAATTAGTAGAAAAATACTTTTAAAGTATTTTCTTCAAATTTTAATGCTAAATATGTATTAATCTCAAAGAAAAATGCTACTAATGTGTTAAAATTTGAAAAATACTTATTTTCAAAAAAATATTACTTTCAGAATTTTAGATTCAAAGATTATGTATTAATAATCATGATATGAGATAGCTCGACTAGCTTATAAGTTATTTTATTGCAACTTGAGTTGAACCTTAATAAACTGGTTTATAAGACATGTGAGCTGATTCAGTTTATATGAAGCTTTAACCATTAGTTATATAATTTCCTAAAAAATTTTTTTAGAAATTTATTAGTATCTTAATAAAATATATATAATTTTGAAAAACCTTTTTCTAAACTATTTTGTTAATAATTATCTAGTCAATAATAAAAAGAAATTCCGAAATAGGTTTATAAAAATATAGTTGCTTCCAAAAATAATATAACACCTAATATTTTAACTTTAAAAGCTTATAACTCATTATTTACCTATACTAAAAATATGATTTTATATTTATTTTAAGCCTCAAATATTAGAATATAACTAATAAAAATTTGAAGTGCGATTATTAATACTAGTTTTATGCAATTTTATGACTAACATAAACATTTTTACTTAATAAAATTTATGTGTTAGAAATTTTTCCAGTAAGCAATTAACTAAAAACTGATACTGTATTTAGATTCTTCTTAGTATAAAGATTTAACAAGCTAAAATTTGTCAAATCAGTAAATCAGCAAAAAATTGATCTACAAGATTGCTGTATAATATATATAAATATAATTAGACATATTTTTTTTTTTTTTTATTGATGTGGCTTTGCCAACTATTTTATTAAGATTTATAGATTTTTCTAAAGAAAATAAAAGAAATTATATGTAATGAAAACAAAACAAAAATAAAAATTATCTAATAATCTAGACTAAATGTTAGCTACCTCCTACTAATAGAATATATAAACATACCTATCTGTCTAGGTTGACCTATCATCATCAATTTCCTCCTTAAACCCAAAGGAACTAGCCCAATGACTACTAAAATTATCAAGAAAAGAAAAAGAACATGTCAGAACCGGTTTAAAAATCCATCCACTTATATTTATATGTAAAGGCAAGTTGAATCCATAACTCCCAAGTGTTGGTCAAAGCTATACTATTATCATAAGACAAATGTTTGCATTTCTTCATCATGTTTTTTATGTCAGAAGTAATGTGTTTCAATAATTCTTTGGCATTTATAAGAGTACAGCGATATGACCAAATTTCATTGAATAGTCACTTATAAAGAGCAACAATTGCTTTTGTGAAAATCTTATTTGTTTTTTTAGATGAACGAATTAGATTCGTGAGATCATCAAATAATGAAGAATTTTCCTTGAATAATAGATAAAAAAGAGCTTATCCTGTCTGTTGGGTATGCAAAGTGTTTATTTAAGAGTAGATCCAAGGATGATGAGATTGAAGTAAAGAGAGAAGGAGAATAGCATTTTGAAGTCAAATTAATAATCTGAGACTTAATGTCAGAGATAATAATGTTTATTTTTGATGAATAAGCATCACATGATCATAAATGATCGGTTATCTCAGTAGTTAAATTACTTCTAACGCAGTTTCAGTTTTTATACAAATCTGGTCTAAGTTTTTCTAATCTAGATAGTGTAGGCAATTTTTTCAAAAATATCTTCATTATGAAGGAATAAAGTTTTTGTTGCTGAAAGGAAGTTGAGTATGTAGCCTAATCTAACGTAAAGATAGACCAAATTGTCATCCAATAAACATTTGCTTGTCTTGTTAATGATTTGAGGTCATTATTTCTATGCAAGTCAATAATATTCAAGACTGCAGTAACGGCAAAAATATCTTTAGTAAAGCGTCTCACTGATGATTTAATTATAATATCATTACATTGAAATAAACACATGATAGTGGAGACTTTAAGATAGTTGATAGAGATTTCTGGTGATTGTGTTCCTGATTTAGCTAGATCATTAGCTATATTATTATAAATATCACCACTGTGTCTTTTGACCTTAATAAGTGTAACATTGAGGTTTGATTGATTCACAATATATTTAATAGACACTTTCTCAAATATTTGAACAGAAAGATTGTTATTGGAGATGTAAGAGCTAAAGCTATGGATAGTAGCCATACTATCAGTGTATAAAGTGACTTTAAAATGTTTGGAGAAAATAATCAATGCAGTGAGAAGTGCAAAGATTTCAGCTCTAGTTGATGAAACCCAATTTGTTACAGAGGCACGGAAGGATTGCTGTTGATTCAAACATATCCAACCTATTCCCATTCTACAATTATCAGAATTATCAGAAGTAGGATGTATTAAAGAGCTATCTGTATAAAATGATATAGAAAGAGCAGAAGAGAGTGAAAGAGCTATTTTTGAAAGATGATTAATATATTGTGGTTTGTTGATAAGTTGAGATATTAGTGATGAGGTGAATCTATCTTGTTGAGGTAAAGTAGTAGTCAAGGAAGCTTTATGTTTTGCAAAGAAAGTGAGTTCAAATGAAGATAAACAAGGAGAGTTTTTCAAAGTAACTTTCTGATGTTGTTTTTTACCTATAATATCTATTTTAACAATATTTTGAAATGGAACTTTAGACACGCATTTTTTTTTACCATTTAAGGAGCAATCAGGATACTTAACAAGACTTTCCAGTTCCATATCATTAGTGATTAAATTGAAGTGGCGTATATCAGCTGTCTCAATATGTGAGTATTATCTAGTAACTTGCCTATAAATGTTGGTATTAGTGAGTGGATTCCAAAAGGTAACATATTCTCTTTTAGTGTCGAAAGGGTTGATATCTAAATCGTAAAGTGAAATATAGGAAGACTTGTCATCTAATCTATATTCTAATTTAAGAGTTCTATCTAAAGGATTAAGAATGACTAGATTAAAAATAAGTCTATCGAAAAAAGAAGAATCTATTCTAGCAGATTTTGATAATGAAATAGAAAGGCAAAATCTAAAATCTTTTCAGTTGAGAAGATAGCAACCATCTAATGAGATAAATTGATCTAAATAATATAGTTGTAATCTTTTAATAATATTAAAATTTTGTTTGAAGATAGCGTAAGAAAATAATTGGTAAAATGAATATAATCCTCCTATTATATGATTACTCAAAAAATCTTTGATCCTAGGTTTAAAACCAGAGGCAACTGTATTAATAATGCTAAGTTAAACGCCAATTAGATTTTTGTGAGAAGAACGGTTATAAGGATGCTTCCATAAATGAAGCGGAGATGAAGGAAGGAGGTTAAGTGATTGTAGTTGGAAGAGGTAAATTGAAGATACATTAAAATAAAGATCTGTCGAATTGAATTGGTTACGGAGAGCAGTTGTGAAGGATTTGATTTGAAGAGACCAAAGATCGTGAAGGTTATAATATTTGTTGCTATTTAAAATGGCAGTTGAAATTGTGATAGCAAAATCAGATTTTCTTTTAAAAAGAGTTCTAATAGAGCTAAAGTAAACATTACATTCACGTTTAAAAAGAAATGTACATTGCAATCTATATTCTAGAAGTGGACAAAGGACTGGATTAATGATATATGTAATTTGTTTATCTGTGAGAGACTTGGGCTTCATGACAGCTGCAAAATTATTGATGTCTTTTTGGGCTTGAGTTTTAACAAAAGTTTGAGAATTCGAATGATTGATCCAAATTCCTAGAAATCTCACAGAATTTAACTCAGGAGTAATATTAACAGTAAAGGAACCAAAGTTAATGTTGATAGTTAGAAATGCAAAGGACTTTGTTGTGATAAGCTTTGATTTAGATTTGTTCAAGTCAGCTCTAGTTAAATCATAAAAATCATTAGCTATCGTAAGGATATCTTCTAGATTTTGTTGAGAATTAGCAATCCATACACCATAGTAAGGGAGAAATAACTTCTCCTTGATCAATACCAATTTTGATATCATAAAAATCAGTAAGACCATTAACTGTAAAAATTGCATTTTTCCTATTGATGAAGAGGTTAATGATTAGATCCACACATTTAGCAGGAATTTTAATACATTGTAAGGTAAGACAGAGAAATTTTAGGTTTATACGATTGTATGTATACCTTGGAAAGGTCTTGCAATAAAATCCAAAGCTCTTTTTTGTTTTCATTAGTATCTTCTAATAACATATTAAGAATTTTAATTGGTTTTTCTGTAGAACAACCAGGTAAACCAGCAAAGTTGTTATCTTTCAAGACATGATGTTTAGCGAGAATCTTTGAGAGTCGATTTGTAATGACTTTGACAAATGCTTTTCTTAATGTTTTTAATAAGATGATTAGACAGGTCTTGGTAATGTCACATTCCCATTCCATTGGTTTGGGAATAGGATAACTATGTGCAATTTTCCATTCACTAGGAGTGTCACCGATATCGAAATACATGCAAATTAATTGCCATACTAGATGTTTGAACTTATCTTCTAAGTATTGAAACATTTCATTATGGATACCTGAGGGTCTAGCAGCTTTATCCTTTGCTAGGTGTGAGAGAACTGAGCACTATTCATTATATGTTGGAGGTTGCATGAGATTATCGTATATGTTTTCAGATATATATTCCTTTGGTTGATATTATGAGATCCATCTTATATCCAGAAATCTTGAAAGTGTCAATGATAACGCATTATTTTGAAAATGGTTGATTGCAACTTTTTTGATTTGGTCAGGATCTAAGGTAAAATGCTTAGAACCATCATTATGATTGATAAAGATTCAATCCAAAGTAATTTTTCTCTTTTTCCTTTGTAGAATAGAATCTATCATTCTGCCAGGTTGAGATTCTAGTTGATTGCATCTTTTTCCAATAAGTGATTTTATTTGTGCATCAGTGTTTTTCTTGGCATCTAATTTGATGAGCTTATATAAGACTTTATGGATGCAGTTGAGAGTTTTTTTGACATCTCTAATATTTGATAAATTTAAAAATTGAGGCAGAGGATCCAAAGGATATGAAATGTCTTTGACAATATTTGCAACAATATTTTGATCATGTTTCTATTCTTCACCAATAGGCCAAAGTCATTCTCTTAGCCTTTTTGAACGAAATTTTAAAAGGATTTTTTTGATCTTAGTAAGTGATAGGTAGTATTGAGAAAGATCTTTTGGTTTTGATGCACAGTCTTGTGTTGAGATCCATTTGTGAGGAATTTTAGACTTACTAATATCCAAAACAGCTTTTTTTAATTCCATCCAGAGACTATTCATATTTGCATGATTGGACAGGAGATCTTTTAAGCGATCAAAATTGTGATTGTTATAATATGTGTTAGAATAATCAGCAAAACTTATCCATTTTGAAGAGTCCATGGATTTGAGAAGATGAACTTTTCTTTTTGTATCATTAATTCTTGAATGAGATTGAGATTCATGTTGAATATTAGAAAAATAAGCAATAACAATCTCGTGATCTGATTTGTATAAGTAAGAATGAATTATGTTACAATAAAGGAAATCAGAAACAAGATTCTGGGAAGCAAAGATTGCATCAATATGACTGGAAGTATTTGATCTTTTGAATGTGTATAAGGGTATATCATGACAAATGTCATATAAGTCCAAGAAATTTCTAAGTATAAGGTCATGTACAAGATCATACTTCCAAGGAATGGTTTTACCAGAATTAATAAGGTATTGTAATTTGATTAGATCTGCATTAAAATCGCCCATGATGATAATGTGAAACCAGACTGAAGGCTATTGTCGATAAGTCATAGTAATATTATTTAGAGGACTTTACTTTCTTTAGATTCAGTGGCATGAATATAAATTAAGAAAACTCTTATTTTATATTTCCTTTTAAATAGAGATCAACATAAATGTAACGATTATTATCCAAAATTTTTTTAGTAATATGCTTTGACCAGGATTTGCTGATAAGTAAACCAATACCTGAGAACTTATTAGAGACAGAATTCCACAAAGTATCAAAAAAGGAATCAGAAGAACATCTAAAAGATTGTGAAGATTGATGCCAAGTTTCAGATAAAGCAACAAAGTTAACATTTTTTTGATAAAAAGTTTTGAGTATATTGCTATTTTTTACATCGTTACGAAGTGAATGAACATTATGTGTAGCAAAAGTAAGAGTATTTCTATGTAAATTAAATTTCTATCATCAACATGTGAATTTTCTAAATCGTTGTCTATAATGAGAATGAGTTGGTCACGTGATAAAAGTAAAGCATTATTATTGGTAGGAAGAAGTTGATTATTAATATTAATTGATTTTGTGGGGGACATTGTAGGTAACAGAATATTATTCATTGTATTAATCATTAATAGATGTATAAAAGGATATATCTAAAAATGAGATGGCTTTGCATTAAACGCAAATTATTCGATCTGTTTGAACATTAGATCTATCTGTCTTTTTTGTTCAATTATAATGGCAGCTTGTTTATTAACCATATTAATTAGGTCAGGTTTAGAAGTCACACTTTGTGAGGTTAAAGACTCATCACTTGATAATCCAGCAATACGAGATCTTTTGTTGGGTGTATATTATGATTTTAAAATTAAAGAAGAGGTTAGTATAATAATAACAGGATCTTTTTCTTTGGTGACAATAGTTGATGGGATTTCAGAAATCTTGATATGAGAAAAGGCTTGAAAGGATTCTAACTTGGCAATTCTAGCATCGAGATCATTCATATCTTTTTTCATGTTAGAGAGAATGGAAAGAATTTGGTCAAGTTTGTTATTGATATCATTATTTGGATTATAAATAGAATCATTCACAGTCGGTTTAATAGTATCTTTTGGTGGTGAAGGTGGAGGAATCTTCTTATTTTTGATGGCCTCAGAATAAGATTTTAAAGAACGATTGGATCTATTGGAATCCACAAATTTTCTAAAGCCAGCAGGTTTAAATTTGTTGTAGAGTCTTTGCATGGAATTATTTTAAGTGGATGTCTTCAGTTTGATAGGTTCTTCATTATCATTTGGTGTAACTGATTTTTGTAAAAGGGGCATTTCATAACAAGATGAGCTGGATCGCCACATTTGTGACAGCTTCTAGTATCAGGAGAACATCACATCAGTTGATTATTATCAAAAGCAAAGTTTTGTTGAGTTGCATAGTTGAGAGTTTTCTCATTTTCAAAGTGTAAAATAACAAAAGAATGAGGCTTATATAGGCTTATAGTTGTTGGATCTAGGAATATAACTAGCTCTAGCTTTAGTAGCAAGAATTATATCATAAAGGTCTCTGGCAGAGATACCAAAAGGAAGATTTGTTAATTTGATATGATGTGTATTCCTATATTTAATTTCTTCTGGAGACAAAATGCAAGGATTGATATAGACAGAATCATTCTAGACAAAATGACTCCATACTTGATAAAATAGCTCAATACATTTAGGACTTTCATAGGTAATATAAGCATATTGTCATACTCTTACTGTCATTTTAAAATCGGTAACAGTTTCATATTTAGCAAAACTTGTTTGATATTGGCAGGTTTCATTTGTAAAGGAATATCAATGATATGAATAGTCCTTTCGTTAAATTGCATATTAGTTTTGTATTTAGAGAAATCACAGAAAGTGTCTATCTTAAGATCAGGAATGGTCATATGTAAAGCTGCTGCAGCCGCATCTAACGTCACAAAGTAAACAATTACTGAACGTGTCAAATTGACGTGATGAACTAAAACTCCTCTAAAATCGTCATTTTAAGCAAAAACGTTATTGATAGCAAGAATAATTTGCTGTTGTTCTTTTCATTGGGTATAAACTTGATATTATTAGCAACTGTGAAGGGAGTAGCTTTTATAATAGCTGTAAAGTCTTTTAAGTCTTCTTCTATATCATTATTTTCGAGATATTCGTCAGGATCCAAAAGTTTTGACCTATCTTTAGAAAAAGAAGAATTTTCAGAAATATTGTCAACTTTTTTGTTATTATTATTATTGTTATTCGAAGGCAGAATAACTGGTGAAATTTTGTTGGAAGTGGTAATTTTAGATATGTCAAAAAATTCAAACTCCATTATTTTATCTGATAGTGAACCAAAAACTTCTTGGACAATTTCTAAATCTAGGTTGGTAGAAGCAGAAGTTGAGGTTGAAGAAGACGAAGGAGCTGGTGTATAACTAGCAGCTTCCTTTAGGGCTTTTGGAGTGACGTATAAAACGAACTTGGAATTACTATTTTTTTGTTTTGCAGTGCTTTTATGTGTCATAACTCTCTCGCGCAAGTAAGAAAGTAGGTAAAACAAAAGAAACCTTTTTTATACTGGGTTTATTAATTAATTTTTTGTTAAAAATGAACTTTTAATTTTTTATATTTTCTATGAAAATTTTGGTTTTGTAAAATAGGAAGAGAGTTTATACATATTTTTTATATAATATAAAACATTCTTATAGATCGATTATTTGTTAATCTACAGATCTGATTTGAATAATACAAGCAAAATATGATCACTTTATTAAATTAATCAACTAAAGTAATTTGATCACTATTATGTTTAGAATTCATCTTAAACAGGTCTAATTTCAATACTATTTATATGATAATTCTCTAATCATATAGATCTCATTAACTATCTCATCCAGAAAATCTAGTTTTTTAGAATCTTTATTGACCAATTTACAACATCTGAACATTAATTTTACATAATCAACAAATAATGATTTTCTTATTAAAGGAGATAAAAACCTATTAACAAATATCATTCTTATTAATAACTATGATCTTAAATCACTAATTCCATACTATTTTAAAAAATTTATAGTAGATAAAGACTTTTATCTCATACCTTACAGTGATATTAAATACAAATCTTTTGGATTTCTTTCAAAAGTCTGTAAAATTTTAAATTAGTATCTTAGATTAAAATATAAAGTTATTGAAAATCCAATTTACACAAACAGATTACTTTCACAGGTTACATCAAATGTATCACTTGTATCAGAATTTGTTTATTTCATTCCAAATCAATGTTAAAAAACAAATTGGATCTTCTTTTGAGACAGCATCTATCAACAAATAATTATTAGATAATCAACAAAGATTTTCTTTCAATTACATTTAGTATTATTTCATCACTTTTATAAGAATAATCTGTTGTATGACCTCTCTTTTCCTTTAAAAAGCATCATACTTATATAATATATCCTGACTATCATCATAACTCAAATGAAGATAAATCAGATTCAAAATTACCAAATACTATAGATCTTAAATATATAAATAGTAACTTACTCAATATTATTAATATTAATAGCTTCAATAGAAATAATATCAGATTAAAATAATTGTATTTATATAACTAGAAGTTTTTTATTTACACTTTTAAATAAATCCTTTTTCTTCATAACAAATTCTACAACTAGGATTCTGCAATTCGATTTGATATTTGAATATTTGATTTGAAAATCAAATCAAATACAAATTCAAATTTATATTTGATTTGATTCATTCAAATTCAAATCAAAGAATAATTTATTTGATCAAATTCAAATTAATGTTTGATTTGATTCGATCAAATTCAAATCAAGTATTCAAATATTTGATTTGATTTGAATCAATAATAAAGCTATTTCCAAAACTTCAGGAGTGCTTTTTACTAAAAAAAACTATAGTAAAAAGCGCATTTGCAGCTTTAGAAACGTTTTTTTACTAATAAAATTATTATGAAGCTGAGATAGCGATTATTATTAGGTTTTCTTAATAAAACTGAAGTCGCGATGACAGTTATTACTAAGTATTCTTAATAAAACTAAGCTGCAATGGCTGTTATTACTAAGTTTTCTTAGTAAAACTAAAGCTGCAATGGTAATTATTACTAAGTTTTCTTAATAAACTGATAAATTATCTCAAAACTCTATATTTCAATCATATGATTTTGTATAACCGCAATATATATTTTTCATCACGCAATTTATAAAAAACTGTTTCTGAATTTATATGTCATATACTCACCTATTATGATTAAATTTATAAACAGATATTGGTTTTAGTTTGGGTTAGCTTCTTGAAACATGTTATCATAATGCTAATTGATTTTCCCATCTCTATAGATGTTCCAAAATAAAACAAACATATTACTTTTATTTCAAAATTAACATTTTGATTTTCATTAAGAAAATTACTGACATGCAATAGCATAGCAAAAGTCTAACATAGTACATCAAAAATTTATCTTGTATAAGTATCTTCACATGCTAAATTCTTAAAATTTTGCATAGTATCATACTGATGATAACGCAGAAAAAATTAAGCAATAAATTTCTTATGTATGAGGCAGAATGAAATTATGTAAAAATGAAACGTGATGGTAAGTTTAAATCATTATTGTGTTATTTTTTACCTCAGTTGCTAATTATACTATAGGTTCGAAATTTTTTAATTTCAGAGAAATTCTCTTTCGAAAAATAATTCTGTGTGTTTAGAAGAGATATAAATAGACAAAAATTCTGTAAATATGGGTAGGATTATATATGAAGTCAAAATAGATCATTTTGGATATCCGAAATGGTCGAAATGGTCGAAATCATTTTTTTATTTTTTTATTTTTTGATACTTTTATTAGGCACGCACAAGTAGTAATATATTTGAATGCATACCTTTCAACAGAATAATACGACTTACAACACGTTTAATTCTACTATTAATTCCCCTTTGCTATATTTCAAACCAGTGTGGGTTGACGTTAAACCTAGGTGAATGAGTGTCAATATCTGAGTAGACTGCCAAACCAATGAACCCTCAGGGTAGAAAGATATGGTACCCAGCCATCATTCACATTCATCATAACTACTGGAAAGAGGGTCAAGAACAACCTAAGATGATAGCCTACACATAGTTGCCTCACCATACGTCAAAATCACCCCAAGAATCAAACCCAGGCCTCCAAATCCTAGTTGTGATATAGACATCACGATGATTGAAGACAGTGTAATATCAACCACCTATAACCTACGACTATTGTTCAATTCAAGTTATAAAGTGCTTACCATTGACCTACTTCACGGGTACCCTTTGCAGATGATGCAGCACTTGTTCATTACAAACCAGCACCTACTATCAGTTCCAAACTCAATTGATTCACGATAGGTGAGAATATCTATTACCACTACCTGTTGCTAGGATGGTATAGATCTAAACGAAGTGAACTTACATGATATTGGTGGTAGCTACTATTACACCTTATAGACATCTTAGGTCACCATATTCTACAAATTCGTGATCTTCAACATACATGGTTTGTACGCACTATATGAAATTTATTCCTAGAATCGAACTGGTAAATCCCATAAATTAAATTATTACGATCTGCCTTAGCCAGAGGCTGAACTAGGGTCTATTGCAGTGTAACTTTCAATAGATCTCAGTTGTTACCAACTGAAATAGGGTGGCAAGACCCTTGTCAAAATCATTTTTTTTTTATGTTTTAACAATGCAGTACTATTAGTACATTTCATTAATTTATACAAAAATACAATAATAGTAAAATCAAAAACTAACAAACAAATGACTAACTATCCCGTAACTATATTGCAAATCTGTTTGAGTCAAACGAGCATCACCACCCCCCTCCAATAGACTTACTACACGCATACATAATGACTACTATCTTCAACAGAGGATGGAAATAAACCATGGTCAATACTACTTCATTATTTCCTTTCTAAAGTAAATTCCTGAAAAACAAAAACAAAAATGTAACCCTTTAACTAATGGTGACATATTTTCTGAAGAAGTAACTATGAAATCTGACCATCTACGCTAAAGAATTTACAAAAAGAAGCAACATAAGAAGATTCTACTAAGTTTCTAGCTAAGTTGTCCAGTCAATTCCGGATTACAGCGACCACCTAGCACAGGTGCGCCTATATCACTAAGTTCCAATAGAGACTCTTCAGACTATCACTTCCAATGCTAAGATATCTGTCAATTCAGATTACAACTGACCCCCGGCACAGGATGAGGCTCAAATTACACAGTCAGTCAAGTCCAGAAAATACTGCGTGGGATTCTGCAGTCTTCGATGTCAGAGATCTGCAAAAAAAGTGTGTTGCCATTTATGAAGGAATAGGGATGTCATCATGCAGATTTGTATATCCAAAGTATGTTGATCATGATCGTCAGTTGGGATACCCCTTGATGCCCACTTTTGTAGACAATTATTTTTGAAAATAAAAAAAACGAGAAAAAATATACCGAAGAGAGGTGAAGAAAAAATATTTTAACAAAAAACAACACAATTTAGACTTCAACGGCAATTTTATGTGGATAGGGATTGGGGAAATAAAAAGAGAAAAATTTTTGAAAAGAGGGGTTTTTTATTTTGTTCGCAGGCTAAACTGCAGTTGCCTTTGAACAGGCACTTTTTTAAAGTAAAAATTCTTGGATAAAATCCAATGAGGAAGAGAGAGAGTTTCAGTCAAAATGTCGAAATCATTTCGACCATTGGAGGCTAAAGTCGCAAAATAGTCGAAATGATATCATATCACATGATTTTTCATATTTAGAAAAAACAAAAAACAAAAGATGTACGATCTCTATCAATATTGCTCTAATTCGTATGAAACAACTACCATTCGATTCCTCGAAACTAAGCGGATCCAATGAGCTAACATTCATTGATTTCGGATCATTCAATCACGAAATACTCGCAATTGTATTATCAGCTAAAATTATAAATCCATAAATTCTACT